CAACCATAATAACAAAAAATATCCCCAAACATCCAGTTGATAGCCTCTTCCTTCGAGCCTTCACCTGATGCTAACCTAATTCTCTTTGCCTGTATTTTTGAATGTTCTAATAACAAGCTGTGTCAGGTATTTCACACAGCCCTTTGCACTCTGCACAGCTTTATTAAGACGCTGGGATATTTATTGCATCTGTTCAGTGGAGAGCCTTGGGTGTCATTTTCTGTGAACTCCTACCTTCTCTTACATCAACAAGCCTGAGGAAGACAGACAGCATTCCAGACTCCGCGTGAAAAGGAGAAATTCTGCATTCCTTGTGAAAATCTACCTTCAGCTTCTGTCTGAGCTGGTTATTTTCCTGCGTGACAAATTCTAAATACTTTGGTAAGGTAAAATTCTTTTTCTTCCAGTGACCAAAAGTCTTGGCACAGGTCTCAATCCTGTTACAGGCTCCTTACAGGCCTTTAGTTAGCCCACTCAGTGTTTGCAGCAAGTCTTATTCCAACAGATAGAACCCCTGATTTTGAATTTGCAAACCTAATACTGTCTAATAAACTGTATTACTTGTTATTACAAAGAATCTAGGGAGGATTCAGAAGCCCCACTGGAAGAGACATTACACAAGACACACAATCTGTTGCCCACTGCATTCACAAAATTACACCACCAGCTCAGGCCCAGTAACGATTTTGGGTTCTCAGATCTCACTGACGACAGAGGTGAAGCACCCCTTTTGCTTTGCAGCTTCTGAATGTAAGTAGATGATTTCTTTCCCCCACTGAAATGCACAGTCAGCACTCCATCTACTTGAGTACAAATTTAAGAGGGAGACATTGAACAATATTCGGGCAAATCCGGTCACAGTCTGAGTAACGCAATCAGTAATGCATCTGGCTAGGAAGCAAATAAGTTCACCTGCCCAAAGCTGCAAGTGTGATTAAGGCACATTATACTGTTGGTTCTTCAGAACCTGTGGTGTTGGTAGCAGGGGTTACTGCTCCTGAAGGATGAGCAAAACCTGGGTAACACTAATGCTACAGAGCTGAGACTTCCACGTCACACTCCAGAACAAAGCATATTCAGTTTAAGCACAGCAATACACAAACACATGGGTCAGCTTCACTCCACAAACCCCACAACTACTCCCAGAGTCAAGCAAAAGCCAAGTACACCATGCCATGAATGACAAATCAGTGGCTTGGCAATCAACTGTCTTTTTCACCATAACATCAAGACACCAGAGCAGGCAGAATGTGATTTCTCTTGGGTTAGGAGACACTTTGCAACCTCCTCTCTATCTTTGAATGTTCATTTCATGAAGCCAGTTTGATATAAAACATTTGTTGATGGAGAATGTTCCAGTGCACAGGGACAGCATTGCCCATGCATCCTGCATACCCAGAGCATTGCTGGAGCTGTGGATTCATGGAGAAATTATTCTCCTCTTCCAAGTCTTCACACATTTTTTTATTGCTCTTGTTTCTGGAGAATGTCCTTCTTCAGACAGCAGCGGGGCAGGTGCCTCAGGCAGCTCTTCCCCAAACCAGGATTTCCTTCAGCTGGCACATCAAATCAAAGCTCTTGCAGGAGCAATTGCCCTGCAGCATCTCCCTGGAGAGGCTGGGGGTGTCCAGCCTATCTCTTGGAAGGCCCAGGACAGGGAGCACGATGGAAGGGGCAGAGGGGACTCTCTGGCTGGGCTTGGCCCCTCCTGGAGAGAATCAGGCCCGGTTGGGCAGCCCCAGGCAGACACTGCAGGAAGAAGAGCTCAGACTGCCTGGGTCCAGTGCCCCGGGGGCTCAGCCTGTGCCTGATTGCTGTGCAGGGGTTGAGCCCCACCTCTGCCTCGGGGCCTTGGGCAAAGGGCTGGCAAGGAAGAGGCCCAGGAGCCTTGGGACCTGCCCGGGTTTTCTTCTGCATGTGGGGTGTCAGTCCTCATCCTACAAGTCGTTGGCTCATGGCCTTGGTGGGTCCTGGCATCATCCCACCTGCCTGACCTCCCTCCCTCAGCTCTCGAGCATCCAAGCCAACCTGGGCTGGGCAGCACAAACAGGCCACCCCCAGGGACCCCAGGGGACACTGCCTGTGCCAGGTCCGGGGGAGGCACATCCCCAAATGAAAATGGGAAATGAAAGCCATTTGTTCAGCCTCCAGCGAAGATGCCTGAAGCGAAGTAGGATGAATCCCACACATGGCGAGTTTGGGAAATTATTATTGTGCCTTGGATCTACACCAGACCCTTTTATTTAGGCATTTCTCCACTAACCAATACAGATTTAAGTTTAAACACCTACGCACATTTTAATAAGGTTTATCCCAAGTCTAATTTTCTCTCCCTCTACATTTAACACTCACTGACATTAATGAGAGCTGCATGTGTGGGTACAAACTGACTCCAGGCAATTTTACAGCTTGATTTTTTTAAAATGTAATTAGAAAAGCACATTGAAATGCTTAATCTATGTGTTTTGGGAGAAATGCTTAATGGTGCCTAATTAATGCATAAAATTTACATTTAGAAAACTAGTATCCAGGCTCTGCAATAATCAAAATATTTGCAGAAATCAGAATAGAATGAAAAATCAGATTATAAATGCTTTACTGGCAAGCCTTCACAAATATCTTGGTTTGTTTGGGTTTGTTTTTTGAGGGTTTTTTTTTGGCATGCTTGCTGTTTGAACCAGAGTTTTGGATACACTTCAGTTTGTTAACCAAATAAAAAACTATCTGCAGCTGAGTGAACCACAACTGTATTCATCTTTTCATGAAGAGCAGGCAAACCTGGAGGCTGTAATTTTAAGTTACTCACTTTTTTCTTTGTAAGAAACCATCTGTGAATGGTGCACAGTGTTATCACTGTCAATTTATTTCCCTTATCCCTTTTCTATTTGCAAGTCCATTTACTTAGGGCCTTACTCTGCTAACTGTTACAAGTCTACAAAACTTTAAATTCCCAAAACACAGTGAAGGCCACTCACATAAGACAAGCTGTGTCCTATGCTATTTAGAATTGTTTGTCTTAATGTTACAGAGATGATCTGGCACATACCATGGAATCAAAGCTGTTACAAAGAATGAAGAATTAAACTCTGGGACTAGAAGGATCAGAGAAGGAAAACAAAGTGGAAGGAAAAAGTTTCTGTAGAGTTGAAAAGCAGAAAGAATAAAATGTCTAGTTTGCCAGACTTGATGAGGTGCTGTTAAATACCCCTTCCTGCTGCATGTCTGTTTGACTATTTCATTCCTTTTGAAAGACTTTATTTTAGTCAATCCCTTTTGGGACTTCACAGCCAAGTCTTTTCCTGGAGTTGGCCAAGAAGGTCAGCTCTTTAAACAGATGTTTTGCAATCTTTAGAGGTTCCTAACCAATTCCAACATGAAAGAGAAGGCAGAGATCTAGGTAGGAAAGTAAAATCATACTATATTCCCATTTCTACATCCCAACAGTTATAAACTCAATCTAAATATAGTGTTGTAGGGTCTGACGTTCAAAATTTTCATCATTTCCTTATCAACTTGCTTTACAATACCAGTTTCCCTTTAAAACTTGCAGTCCTTCAGTTTTGTCATTGGAGCTGCAACCTTCAACACTAGTAACACACATCCTTAACTCCCATATTTCAAATACACACAACCTCACCATCATCAAAAATGACCATCACTCACCAGCATCAGAGATGATCTTTGCAAAATGCTTCAGGTAGCCTTTTTTTTTTTTGTTCTCAGGGAAAATATATGGCATTTGGATGGAATTTGGTTCACTACCTGATGTCAGAATAAGTTCTGTGATTCACAGTTAAGCTTTTGACAGTTACTAATTTTGACATGCAACTCATTGAAACAATAGATGAGGATTCCTACAGGGTTGTATTTTCATGACAGTCTTTTAAACATACAATATTTTCAGTTATGAAATCCAGTGAATTTACTATCAGACATCAGAAAATCAGAGTAATTTCTGATGATATCCAAACTACCAGATTTGATTTTCAAACACGTTTGACTACCTCATCTTTGCAAATCAAAGGATGTGTTTCCAAGAATAACTTCTAAACCATCCAAACGTTGCTTTGGTACAGTGGCAGCACTGTATATCTTTGTAGAATCATCACAGAAACATTAAGCTTGGAAAAGACCTTTAAGGTCATTGAATCCAACCATCAACCCAGCCACCACCATGTTCACCAGTAAACCATGTCCTCACATGACACATCCACACGTTTTGTGAACATTTCCAGGGATAGCGACTCCGCCACTGCCCCGGGCAGCCTGTGCCAATGCTTGACAACATGTGTCATGAAAAAAATTTCCCTGATATCCAACCTGACCCTCCCCTGGCACAGCTTGAGGCCGTTTCCTCTTGTCCTGCCTCCCTTGTTCCCTAGGAGCAGAGCCCAATTCCCCCCAGCTCCCCCTCTCCTGTCAGGGAGTTGCAGAGAGAGAAGGTCCCCCCTGAGCCTCCTTTTCTCCAGGCTGAGCCCCCCCAGCTCCCTGAGCTGTTCCTCATTGGATTTACACTCCAGTCCTTTTTCACTGAGTTCTGTCTCTAAGAAAAAAAAAACAAAAACAAACCAATAAAACCCAAGAAAATAAAATACAGGAAACCCACAGATCCACAGCTGGATCTGTGGATCCAGTGAGTGGCCTACTCCAAAACGTTCTCTGCATCTATCTTTACACCAGGTAAGTCTTCAATAGCTAAGTTCTGACGTTTAGTAGCTATTAAGCAGACATCTATTAGTTATAAAAGAAGATGTGGACACAGTTTTCAAAGAATTCAGCTCTGTTGCTGTCCAGAGCTTGTACAGGCTGGAGGTGAGATCTGCTGCTCTCAGACCCTGCTGGGTTGCCCCCACGCTGCCCCACCATCTGCTGTGCACACAAATAGTCTCAACAGTTCCTCTCATAGACACCAGTGTCAGGGAGTCCTCAGACACAAGAAACATTGATCAGACACTGTGACACCCCAAGTAAGGCCTTGAAAGCAGTTTCCCATGACCCACCTGTGTCACACAAACCCCGGAGCTGACATGAGACCAGTAGTCTGACACCAGGCACTTCCAGTCACTGCAGGGGCTCTGCCCTGCCAGCTGGCACCACACAGCTGAAACACCTGTAAAGAAGTGCAAGATTTAAGAGTTATAAAGACTAATAATAAAAATAAAAATAAATAAAACCCCCCAACAAAACACCAAACCCTACCCCACCAAAAAGATTAAATTCCTTTTTCTTTACTGTCATGAAATAAAACAAACCCTCCTGCAAGTTCAGATGTACAAAGGAAATCTGAACTTGGGTTTCTGCACCAAACCAGAGCAGAATTTATCCAATTCATCATCCAGAATAGGAAAAGGCAAAATACATTTCACAAGGTATTTTACAGCTTATCCTCCATTTTTTTTATGGTAGATCAGACTAAAGACCTACTATATTCTAGCTGCAAGGAAAGACACTTTGAGTTATTTAAATTTTTAGGTTCATTTAAAAATTAATTTCATTAAAGGCATGAAGATAAAGCATAAATAAAACAGAATCTACTTTATAACATATCAGTTCATTTTGCTGCAATATTTGCAGAAAGAACATATAGAAATACCCTTCCACACTGCTTGAAACCTAATTTTGGACAACACCAGAGTGAGACAAAATGAGAGCTGTTGCCAGTTCTGGAGTTGATTTCAGAGCGATTGACCACCAAAGCCTTCGTTTAATTTCAGCAGACTTGTGTTCAGCAGCTCTGAAAATTGGGCCCGAAATGATAGAGACGATTTTGGACCAGGGTCACATCCCTTTCAGTTCCACCCACCAATTCCATTTCCCACACAAACACCAGGAGGGGAAGGAAGGATTGATTTGGAAGCTTCTAATTGGCTTCAGCGGAACACAGCCTGGAGCCACTGTAATGTTCCTGAACAGCAGTTCTGGAGCATGAACAGTGCCCAGTTTGGGTGGGGTGGCCAGGCCATGACGAGCCCCAGGGCTGTGGGACGGGGTGGAGGTGCAGTGCCGGGGCCAGCAGGCGGTTGGGCCAGGCCGAGGGCTCTGCAACCGCCCTTGGATGTGGCATCTGAACCTGGCAACTGCCAAAACGGCTGATGGAGACCCGGCAGGTGAGTGGGAAAGGTGCAGCTCTTCCTGGGCCATGCCCAGAGGGGGTCTGGGTGGGATTGGGCTGTCCCACGGGGAACGGCTCCCTTTGGGAACAACAGGGTATTCCCAGTTTGCTGTTCCTGAGCTGGTGGCAGCTTTGGTGCTGGGAGTGGGGACAGAGCTGGGAGGGAACGGAGGGCACCTTCATGCCGGTGGTGGGCAGCTCTTCATCACAATGCTGGCTGGAGCGAGTGTTGGTGGGATCAGCAACTCCGGCAATGGAATCCCCAGAATGCTGTTTGCCCCAAACAGTCACCTTAGTGACAGAACCCCCAGAATGCTGCCTGCCCCAAACAAACCCCAAACTGGCCAAGCACCATGGCAGGTACAGCAGCAGGCCCCCATTCCTCCCGGGAGTCCTGCCCTCCAGGTATCCCCAACTAGCTACGCCCCCCAATATCTCACCTCATCACCCCTTTTTGCTTCCCCCAACAGAGAGGTTCCCTCTCCAGGTGACAGTGTTGAAGGTGGCCAGCGTGAGCTTCGCTGCCCTCGCCAGGCCAGCCCTGGGAGCTCCCTGGGAGCTGCCCTCTGTCCCAGGGCTGCCACTGTACTCTGGCCCTGTCCAGCTCCACACCAGCACCCACCAGTTGGTCCCAGCCACCGTCAGGCAGGAGGTCCCAGGGCCTCTGGGGGCCCCGGGGCAGGTGTTGTCCCTTTCCCCTGTGGTGCAGCTTCCCTGGCCAGTGCAGCTGCCTCCCTGTCCTTCTGCCTATGGTTGGGGACAGCAGCTGGTGACGGGGGCGCTTCTGCCCCACCAGCCAAGGGCTGTGGTCCAGGGAGAGCCCCTGTACCCCATGGGCTCTGGTGTGCTGTGTGTCCACCACCGACCTGCCCTGGCAGGCAGAACCACGATGGATCCCGAAGGTGAGTTTGGGGGGTAGCAGAGCCCATGGGTAGGCAGTCTAGCCGAGGAAAACTTCAATCTCTTGGGGTTCCATTTTCAACAGTGGTTACCACCCCTGGTCCAAGGAAGCCCACGGATCTGCCTGAGGAGGGACCAGCCACCAGCACAGAGGCCATTCCTGAGCAGGCAGAGGACATCACCCACCACCACCTGCTCACCCAGCCTGAAACCCCAGCGGGTGAGGACACCATTGTCAATGCCCCCAACAGCCCCACCTTGAGTGACCTCCTGGACGACCTCTTTGAGTACCTGGCGGACAGTGGCTGCCCTGAGGAACAAGTGGAGGTGGCTCAAGAGGACAGCGAGGACACCACCTTGGCCGCCAATGCCCCCAGCCTGACCGCTGAGGACCTCGATGAGCTCCTCGAGTTCTGTGAATGCCTGCTGGAAGACGACTGTCCCAAGAAGCCAGCAATGGAGGCACAGCAAAGGAACAGCGAGGATGCCGTACCCACCACCCCCAACTTGATCCCCTCCCTCAGCCCACTCAGTGACCCCCGGCCTCCCTTGCCCCGCATGGCCCAGCTGGGGGAGAAGACAATGCAGAAGCAGCCCCAGGTTGCTAAGAACCACTTGCAGCTGCCACCAGGCATCACCACCATCCAGGCGGACCCCAAAACAAGAGAGGTGGCAGCAGCCAGGCCCCGTGCTCGGCGCCAGCCAGCACCTCCACGGAACAAGGGACCTCCCCGCAGGGCCACATCCCGGCCGAGAAAAAGACAACGACAGCGGTGACGCAGCACCCAGACCAGAAGACACCCTGAGCCAGTGATCTGCAGCCAGGCCCTCAGGCCCAACCCTCTCCCACATCCCTCATTCTTCTTTAGTTCATTAAAGAGTAGTTTTGCAGTTCCCTTCTCTGTCTTGGGTCGTTTGGGCAGTGGGAGGGGGGCAGTACCTCAGCGCAGCCCCTGCCCACCCCATGGGGGACCGGGCTGGGCTGGGCATGATCACCCAGAGGATGGCTCAGCATCGCCCCAGGTGCTGGGTGCCTGTGGGAGAACACAGAACTGTTGCAAAAAGTTGACTTATCCGCTATACCTTAGAGGCAGGTAGAAGGAATGGAGTATAGGCAAGAGCAAACCACATTCCCATCACTGGATAAATCCAGATTTTGTTTAGAGTAAGTGCTATAATAACCACTCCTCCCCAGTTAGGGACGTTTCCAAGCTGACAGCAGACACCTAATTATTCTTTTAAGTCAATAAATTTCGAACAACAGAAATCAAGTGTCCACAAAGACAACACAGCAGCATGCTGCCGAAATAAGCAATGAGCTCCAGATATAATCTCGGTTCTCCAGGTGGACATTTTATTTTCTTCTAACTTATCTGATACACTGCAGGCAAGTTCCCGAGGCAGCCACATATGTTGCTGCAAAAAAACCCAAATGATCACCAGCCTAGGAAGCCTGGATTCCAGGACAGAGGCCACCAAATTTACAGACTGCTGTTAAAGAGTAGCAGTGCAACATCCACAGCAAATTATTTTGCTGGAAATGTGTCTTTATAATGCAGTAGTGAGAAAGCTTCTCCTGCAAATGTGCATCTATGATTGGATAATATATATTGTTATGGGTTTTAAGATTTTTTTTAAATCTCTGAATAAAAGCACGTTTTTCCTGTGACAAGAGCACTAAAAGGTCCATGGCAAGTTTACACACTGTAGGAACACTACTCTCCCTGTCAGGTATTTCTTCAACCTGTCTTGTCTCTGCCATTCCCTCAAAAATACAAAAAGCTTATCAAAACATTTTGTCCCCAAAGTGCACGTACCAAACACACTATGACAGGTAGTTCACTATTCTGTTGCTTTCCAGGTAGAAAGCATTCAGATACTTTTAGAGGTTTATACTGCCTCTGATGAGAAGTTCATTTCTTATATACCAGAATCTTTTCTAATGAGAGGAAAAAAGATCAAAACCAGAAGAGTATTTAAGGGAAGCAGTTCTGTGTGTGAGAACAGCAGCTGACTGTGAGGAACACCAGACCCTGCAGTGCCAACAAGACAGAGAAGCTGAGGTGGAACTCAAAGGAGAATCCAAAGTATCACTAAGAAACAGAAGAGGAGTAACAGTAATTGCAATAAAACAGTGAATGCAAACAACTGCTAAAAGCTGTGCATGTTCTATAGACTTTTATTACATATATCTCTGAATTACCTCAATGGCAGCAAACGTGCTGCACTGAGCATCAGGGAACACCATTCCTTCTTATTTTATTTGTTATTCCAGCTGTCCTTCCTCTTCCCCAGCAGTACAGAAAATAATGCTCTCTATCAGGCATTATTATTCAGAATATTATCGCATAAAGCACATAAAACACTTCTATTGCTGTTAATATCTTTATGCTCACTCTTAAATAAAATCTTACAATAATTAAAAGATTCATTTTCCATTGTTACTGTCTGTTTTCATCACCACCCTTCTTATTGCCATTTTTGGGTAGAAAAGACAAAGATTCTGTTCTGAAGTGCATTGGTCTCATCCCTAATAAAATTCAATTCTATCTTCATTAAAATTACATGAGAGTAAAGGAGGTCAAGACGTGGTGAGCTCCAATTGTTTCCTGAATGAAAAGTAATTTTGCAGTTATTGTCAAAATAAATTATACACAAGTATAATCAAAGTTAATTGAAGAACACTACATGGTTTGAGCTCATTAAAATCCTCACAAACGCCTACATGGAACATACTGCTTGGTAGTTTAAAGAAAAAAGTGTCTTCTTTTACCTTGCAAAAGGCTATTAATCCAAGTGAGAACTCCTCAAAGCTAAATTAATAATACTCAGAGCAGCTTCTATGGTCCATAGAGGTAGCATGTGAATTAATCCCCCTCCTTGGAACACTGTGATATCAAACCTGTTGACATAATCAATTCTGCATTTCAAATGAAATGCTGGTCACACACAAGCCACCAGCAGCTGCAGCACTCAGGGCTGTGGGATCTCACACGTTGTAAGACCCCAGCCACGGAGCCACAACCTTTACTTTTAAAAAGGTTTACTTTTAAAAATATACAAGGCTCCAAAATTTCACCCACCGAACTTTTGCAGAGCCTTCAGGGCTTTAATACCTTGAGGTAGTGTAAAGATAATACGATGCACATGTTTTCTCAGGAGACACTTCTACTTTTAAAATGTGGGAGAAAATAAGGATCCTCACTAAAGTTCAAAAGGCTGACATGCAACCAAGATAGAGCACTTCACAAAGCTATTATTTAGCACGCACTAATCCACACAACTTAGCAAAAACCAACCCACTCGGTTTTAAGTTATGCAAGATATTAAAGACACAGTGAAGAAAGAGATTAAGAGAAGAAAAAGGAGTAAAGACAGAGAAGTAATTTTCAACTGCAAACCTACCTAAACCCTCAGAAATTTCCTCCTTTGTTACCTTCTCTTTGAATACTTTGTATCAAAACAATGAATTTCCTTTAGCCTGAATTTGTAGCAGTTTAACCCCTGTGATCTTGAGAGACTAGACACACCTCTCCTCTTCCTGAAATCACTTACCTACCTGTTATGTAGAGGTTATGACCTCAGGGACAACAAGGGAGTCCTCTGAAATTAGCTGCCAGAAAACAAGCAGGTTTGGGATTATATTTATTTGGATTATATTTATTTCGCCATTAACTTTCTTACCAGGTACAGGATGATCCCAACACTACCAAAAAGCAAGCACAGGGGACCTCATCACCGAGTACAACAGTGAGCACACACAGGGTACAATAAAAACTGCGTTCAGACTTCCTTTAGTGACGCAGATATGAGCCAAGAGGCCATAATCTGACCACTAGGTATTATTTAAGCCTTATTACCTCTCCTTAGATACGGGTTTTTAAAAACAGGTAATGTTTCCAAAGAGCTTTAAACATCAGCACCTACTTTCAACAGGC